CACACACACACACACACACACACACACACACACACACACACACACACGCACACACACCAGAGCCTCTGTCAGCACCTGTTAAGGCAGACTAGCTGGTGGAAGTAATGTGCTCTGACCCAGATCAACTTCCAAAAGTAATTTTCCCTCTGCTAGGGCGGTTTTAAATGTCTGCTTGGTTTTAGGATTAGCGTAGCCTGGTGCTAAAGAGTGCACCTGCTGTTTGAATCGGCAATGTTAAACGACGATGACGGTGTAGGTGTTTTTATTTAACTTATCAGAAACTAAACGTTTACCTTTATGCCCCTCCCTTCTACCCCAAGAATTTGGGGAGGGGCACTAAAACAAATGCATTACCCTCTCCCAATATCTTGAGACAATATATTTGTGAAAAGACAAGTAAATCATGTGAATCTGTGATCATACAGTCCCTAAATCCATACTTGCACTTGACTTCATAAGCAGCGTGAACCTATAAGATTACTAACCGCGCACATTTGCTCTGGTCTGCTGTGAATACGACTTTATTTTTGAAAATCTGCAGGCTGTAATAACCCACAACCATCAGCTGCTGTACGCAAACAGAAGGTGCCAGGCTGTGGTTTTGTCATCCGGTCAGGTTGACGGCTGGAGGCTTGTTCTGTCTGTGGTGCTTTTGTGAGTGTGTGTGTGTGTGTGTGTGTGTGTGTGTGTGTGTGTGTGTGTGTGTTCTGCATTTCACGCTCGCTGGTTCGACAGCTAACCTCACACGTGACAAGCCCCCCCCCCCTCCAAATTGCTTTCCTTTGTGCTCATTGTCTCTTATCTCTCACCTATCGTCTTGAGAAGTTTTTTCTTATTTATTCTTTGTAAGTCAGCATCTGCTGCCCGCCATCATCGCTCTGCCTCGACTCCCAACTTTTGCTCCGTTTCTTTCTGTTGCTTCCTCTATTGTTTTGTCACTTCTTCTGTCTGCCTCTCTTTCTCTGCTTCCATCTCCTTCTCTCTCTAATAACCGGCCCGCCTGATCCCGTTATGTCTCTGTGTCTTTTTTCTGGAGGGGGTTACCTCCATGCGGCTTGCCGATCTGCTCACTAGATCGGCGGTGCGACACACACTCCAGAGATGATTCATCACAAAACTCCCGAACCGTACGAAGAATAAAAGGGAACAACACTCGAAAACAACTCAAAAGCACCGCCTCAACTTTGACAACTTCTTCCTTTCCTTAACACACTTAAAAATACACTCTTACCGTGAGGGTGGGGATGGCCGTGACGAGCGAGTAGATGAGCACGGGGGGGATCTTGCCGGCGTCGTCCGGACCCGGGTAGGGCTTGGAGAAGGTCTTATCGTAGCAGAAGAAGCCCTGGACATGCACGGGGAAGGTGTCCGTGTACTCGAAGTAGTAAGCCAGCAGCACCGTCCCGGCCATGATCACCAGCTGGAAGTAGAACATTATCCCACCGTTACGAGGTGAGAGGAAGAGCAGAGAGGAGGGAGAGGCGGAGGAGGTGGAAGAGGATGAGGAGGAGGAGGAGGAGAGGAAGAGGGGCGAGTCAGGTCCCTGTTCCCCTCGGCCACGGGGAGATGCATAGGAAACACGGACCGAGGGAGAGACAGAGTGAGAGGGGGCTCGGTGTTTGGATCCGGGAGAAAGCGAGAGAGAGAAAGAGAGAGAGATAACAAGACAAGAGAGAGAAAAGGAAGTCTGCAGAAGGAGGCTTCTCTCTTCAACAAAAAAAACTGAATAAAAGAGGGTTCCGCGGCAGCACGAGCGGCAAAAACAAAGAATTGCATAGCGAGAGAGAGAGAGAGGGAGAGAGAGAGAGAGAGAGAGAGAGAGAGAGAGAGGAAAGGAGGTGGGTGGGAGAGAAAGGGGGAGCAGCCTTTATGCTGCCAGCACTCATGAAATCTACTACAGTTGAGCTGTGGGTGTATTTGTAGATACTGTGTGTGTGTGTGTGTGTGTGTGTGTGTGTGTGTGTGTGTGTGTGTGGTAAGAACACGTGCGCAGGGGACTGAAGTGCATTTTTGACATTTGGTTCTCAACTATCAGCTGACGCCTCTAAAAAGTTGAATTCCTGAAATGCTAACTGGCTTCATGTCTTTTGAGAAGGTGGCGATGGCGTTAAACATCGTAAGCCTGGCGTGAACGTTAAGACGGGCAGAATTAGCGACTATAGCTGGTGAACACAGCGGAGCAAATAGCAACGAAAGCGGAGACACGTGTTTCCCTCAGGAGCTGCTGGAGACTCAGGAATACGGTCACCAAATGGACACACCGCTCCAAATGAGCGCTAATGTTGCTCCACGACACTCGGTGGGTGTATTTCTGGGGACCCACCAATACACTTTTAATAAACAAGCGACAGCACTCTGTGAGTCAGGGCTCAGGGCTGCTGTTCACTGTTTCGACTGGATGCTGGATACACATTGCATAACATCGCAACCAAACTCTCCTTCACTTCTCCGGAGTCAACGAGCAATTTTCTCGGCAATGCCGCCGGCAGCACCCCTAGGGGCCGAGCAATCAGCCCCCTCATTAGAGGTTTGCTTTCTGAACTGCCACATCCCCCCGACAGCAACACACTGGGAGCGCAGACTGTATGTGAGAAGTGGACGTAGTCACGTGACATCACGTTGGTTGGTGGACTCCTGTTCTGAATCCTCGAGGTTGGCATTTTGGCCGTACACCATCTTGGTATTAGGGTGTCGCCATCTTGTTTTTTTTGGAAGTGACGACACTGAACAAGACATTTTCAGGCAACTGTTACAATTGACTCACAAACTGAAAACGCACTGTGAAAGGGTTTAATTTCTAAGATAAAATTGCGTCGAACTCCCTAAACCAGTGATTCTCAGCTGGTGGGTCGCGACCCAAAAGTGGGTCGCGGACCCGTTTTCAGTGGGCCTTTGCCTGACAAAAAAAAAAAAAAAAAAGTTGTGATTTTATTTTGAAGGGCATTTTTTATGCAGCGGAAATATTCCAGCATTTACGGTACTTGTTCAGCGTGCAGGAAAAACACCGACCAATGCGTTGTGAATCACATCACGTGATGAAGCTCAGCCAATCAAATATGAGTATTCTGACACGTTTCCTGACTTGAGTGAGATGTAAACACCATGACACACGGGGAGAGACGAGGACAGAGACAGCAGAGCAGGACTGTTGAGCTGTGAAAGTCAAATCACAGGATGATTTCCAAAAGAGAGAAATATCCAGAGAGACCAGAGTCATTAGACTCTGACTGGACAGACTCATAGAGGTGAATTCTTCAAACACTAATTTCTCTTTTTAGAAGATGAGTAAATATAATATTGTGGCTTTTTCACTTCACACTGAATGAACTGAGTTTAAAGCTGCAGGGCAATTCAGTGAAAATAATTTTTCTAAATTGAATTTCGTTACGTAATTTATTTTTTAATCCAGCCGTTATTTTACTTGAAAAGAGAAGAACATTTATTTATGTATTTCTACGTATTATTTATAATCCATCCAGTTAAATTTGAAAAATGAGAATAATATTTGTTAAATATAATTGATGTGTACTTTCTTTATTTGATTTGACAGCTGTTTACTACACAGAGACGTTACTACTACTAGACTTCTTGAATATAGATATACCCAAATT